ATTTCAGTGTCAAACTGAAGTTCTATATCATGTTCTGGATAAATACTACTCTTCTTGATAGAATCAAAACCTAATCCACATAACGCACCAATGTAGTAAGTTCCAAAATTATTACGTCGCAATTCCATACATGGCGTAAAAATTAATACAATTAAAGCAGTTAATCCAGGAAGACGCGGCATTAACGTTGTATTATATAGTGTTAAATAATGACTAGGTATATTTTGAGAAACGGATGCTGCCACTAAAAGTCGTTGAGAAGAATCTCCAGGATCGGTGTCCAAAAGAACAGAATTTACCGAATTCGTTGCCATTTTCACATGTTTATCTCTTCCAGCGTTAATAAGATGCATTAATTTAATTTCTAATGGTGAAAATGGGCCTCGTAATCTTTCTGTTGTATAGCACTCGGCAACTGCAGGTGAATCTGGATAAATATCTGGCATATAATCTTGATCATATTGTAACTTTTCATAATGATAACACTGTTCGTTTGACATGTTTGATTGTTGCAGTCTTAAATCATGATTAAAGCGTGAGAAATAGCCTTCTTCTTTTTTTATTGCAAATCTCTTTTCAAGAAGACATTTGTTTATACTAATTTCATTTCTTTCATTTTTATGAATTAGTTCTATTATAACCATGCCATTGACGACAGAATAAATTTCACCAAAAAGTAAACCGGGTTTGCTAATCAATGTCCAAAATAAATCATACGCAGCCTGTGACCAATCCTCGTTGAAACTTTGTACCGTGAATGGTTGAATGTTTGCCAATGTACATTCAAAAGCTAATGCAGGAATATCAGAAATACCGCTATTGGGCTCCAAACATTTCAAATCGCGTAATAGACATCTGCTTGAATAACCATAATCCATAAAAAAGACTAGTACTAATATTTCTGGCAATGATACATGACCTTCTACTATTGCCCGTAAATACACTTTGCGGTTGTTTTCCTCGTATGGTGCAATTACAATCGTGCCAGTTTCTGGGACTGCTCTCAATGTTCTAAATCCATCGCGTTGCATTTGTTTAATGGTTGATTCTATTTTATTCAGTTTTTTTTTAATTGTAAGATCACGTTTCTGAACCCAGAAACGACTAGGACTTTCAATCTGAAAATTTAAATTACTGATTAATTTAATACTTTGTAGTTACGTCAAAAATACATACATTTCGTATTATCAAAGGAATACGAGATACTCGCAAACTCGGTAATTCAGGTTTGACATTGTCTTTTATCACAATTTTCGGTGTAAAAAAGTATTTTTTGTTTAAGTTCATCTCATCCGCTCGTTTCAAAGCTACATCTTCATTTAAAAGCGGTACTTCTATAGGAATATTAGACTGTCTCAATCTGATTGCTTTGTAAACAAATGGAGATATCATTTTTGTATTTTTATTTTGTTTCTCACACATTTCTTGAATAAATTGAATGTAAACACGAGAAGAATTATCGAAAGATACGTTTACTTTTCCGATAGGCATCAAGTTCTGCTTAAAGATATCTTGAATTCTGCGAGCATATAATAATCCAGGCTGTTTCAGAGGCCATCCTTGCAAATATACTGTTCTTAATGGATCTAATCCACCTAGTAATCTTATTCCAATATGTTCGTTCAATTGATTTTCCATAGCGAATGTATTTTTGATAAAATAATTTGGATAAAATGCACCAGCAATTATAATTTTTAAAACAAATGGTCGTTCTTCTTCACTCCAGACAACTTTATTGACGCCGGCACTTTCTTGTATACCTAATTTTTCCAGTCTAGATGTTAATTCGATTATCAGAGCTTTAACTTCGCGTAACACTCTAATTTGTACAAAATTTCTTGATGCCCAGTTTTTTTCCTCTGCATCATTATTTAATCGACGATTAGCTTTTTCAGTAATCCATACTTTATATACATTCATAAAAGCTATACAGTCACTGCAAGAATTAGCTGCCCAACTGAGTTTAACATTGTAGGCTAATAGTTTTTGTTGAAATGGATTACTGAACATATCTTTTACAGACAAACTAGCTGCAATAATTATTGTATCCTTCAAAACACTAAAAACATGGCCTAACATTATTAATTTTGATATATGAATATTCAATGGTAGATTAGCCATAACTCGACCGAGATCTGTTAATTCTCCATCAAAAGGTTGTATTTCATTAATCTTATTTAGCAATGCCCCTGTTTCCTTTAATATCAATATCGTTTTTTCCAAATTTCCAAGATCAGGTGGATCAAGAGACAGTGCTAGGATCGCTTTAGGTTCTCCCATGTCCAATAACTTTGATTTGAGAACTACATTTTCTAACGGAGCTCGTAATATTTCAGGTGATACTTCTTGAGACAAGGTAGTCTATAAATTTTATAAAGTTTACAACATATTTTATATTAACATTGTTTGATATGAATAATAGAAATTACCTCATAAAATAATTGCGGTACTAATCTATATACTCTACCATCCATTACTCGACCTGTGCGACCTGCTCTTTGTTCGCAATTCACCTTACTCGCCCATTTTAATTCTAAGCATTGGAAATTCGTATGTGGGTCCGTTACAAGATGTTTTGTTAAACAAAAGTCAATTACTGAAAAGAATACAAAGTGGAGAAATTGCTGCTTTAAAGAAAAAATTCTTTTTTATTACAATTCAACAAACCATATTTTACATCAGGAACAGTAATACTGCTTTCAGCAATATTTGTAGATAAGATAAGGCGACGATAACCATAGGGTGGTTTTTGAAAAATCCGCTGTTGTTCTTCACTTGTAATTGAGGAATGTAGTACGACTATATCCCACTTACTCTGTTCATGTTTTGGTAAACATAACAGATTACTAAGTTCTTCGATCTCATTAATTCCCGGTAAAAATACAAGAATAACATGTCTTTCATAAACATTTGTTTCTTGATCATAATTTGCGTCATCAGCTTTTATATCTACGTCATCAAGAACTTTTATAAGATTAACACAAAATTCCAACATTTTTTTCGTAATAGTTGGTTTGTTAGTACAGATTTCAGGTATCTACAACAAAGTAGAAATATAATGTAATAAATAAATCTAAATATATTGATCTATTATCATCTTGAATAGAAATTTGAAACATTTACTGGTCCTAATGCTCCCATTTGGCAAAGGTAATAAATACCAACATTAAAAAAAGTTTTCTTTGGAATGCTGATAATAGGTGCAGGAATAAGTTTATTTCTCACTGGTGAAGAAAAATACTTAGCAAATCTCTCCACATCAAATGTAGCAGACATTAAAATAACTTTTACTGAACGTGAATTTGTGTGTAGTAATTTTCGAACAAGAAGAAGAAGAAAATCCATATCTTGATCTCTTTCATGAACTTCATCAAGTATGACATGTGTGTAGTCCAACATATTTTTGCTATTTATCAATTTATGTAAAAGAACTCCAGTAGTGCAATAAGTCAAACGTGTATCTTTGCTTGTGTGATTTATTAAACCCACTTGATACCCAACAAGAGTACCCACTGGCCATTCTCTTTCTTGGCTGACACGTTTTGCAATACTTATAGCAGCAATTCTTCTAGGCTGTGTAACTATGAAATGGGATTATACACATTATAAAAAATTCTATGTAAAAGATAAATCAAATCATTATAAGTACATAATAAGATTACCTATAATATTGCAATGAAGTTTCTTCTTATAGCAAGAATCTAAAATAAATTGTGGTACTTGTGTAGTTTTACCACAACCAGTTGGTCCTTGAATTACTACAACTGAATTAGTTTCAATCATAGAAACTATCTGATCTTTTTTAGCAGTAACTACTAAACTTGGCTTTGCACGATAAACAAACTGATACGTTCTGTAAATGTTTAATGTTTGTTCGTTTTGCACATCCGTAGGAACTGTTCCTACGGATATATCTTCAAAATCATTTTGATTGTTTACATTATAGTTTGTATTCTAAAAATACAGTAAATTAAATAAAATTTTTAATAATATTCAACCTGTATATTACCTGCAGAAGTGCTTCTTCTTCTTTTCGTACATATTCTGCTGCATAATCTATTCCTTTCTCTTTGCTTTGTGTACTTGTATTTTCAAAATGTACATTTTTGGGTATTTGTTTTCTCCGGCTTGTTGGGCCAGGTAATGATTTTCCACGATTATTGTACAAATCAAATGGATCCATTATGTATTAGGGATAGGATACCTAAGACAATAAATATTTCTGTATTTATAATTTATAATTTTATATATATATATATAATTACATATATATATACATATATCTATTATATATACACATATATCTATAATAAAATGTATATGTATGTATATACATGTACATTTAATTTACCCAAGAAAATTAATTTTATGAAACACAATTGATACAAATATATTAACTTGTACTTTGCACGCTTTTTTAATTATTTTTTCGTCATGAAATAAACGTGCTCCGCCTAATCGATTTTCACACAGCGTTAGAACAAACGAATTAGAATTGAAGTTTTATAATTCTACAATTCAAATCTGAATAAAGTATTGTTATATTCTTTATCTATCATTGATGTGACTTTAAATTGTTTTAACTTTCATGAATTAACAATAAAATGAAAAAGTGATGGTTTAAGTTTTTGTTCGCACAGCCCTGTACAATATAGCGGTTCTTAGAGAACTGACTTTGACAACTAATACAGGTGCATATTAAGGTGTGTAATATTATTTAATTAATATATATAATATAGAAAATTATTACATATCTATCTCACTAATAAGCAACATATCTATCTCACTAATAAATATTTTTCTTATGCTATAAAATAAATAGTTCTGCCGTGATAAATAACCGCGAGTAGGGTCTTATCTATTGAACTAACAAAAAAGAATTTATATCAGAGACTCTACCTTAATAATCTCAATTGTATTTCAAGTGTATTTTAAATGTATTTTATTTGAATTTACTAACGAAGTGTCAAGATCATAATGTCGACAGTTTATATAAAAATAACTATATATACAACTATATATCAGGATTTGAGATCAATGAAACATGTGTGTATGTTACACTGAGTTGGCAGTTCGTGAATTGGTGGGGATTATGGTGGTCAGTTAACAAGACAGTAGTATAAACTTTAAATATGGATTGTAGATTATCGCAGTTACACTAGCTTTTTACATGAAAATAAATAAGTTTTTTTATATATTTCTTTTACATTTAACATTTTTCACTTTAGTTCATTTAGAACCAAAAAAACAGGATAGATTCCAGATTTACCAACCTTTATAGTAGTATTAATAAGTAATATGAAAACTGCAAGCAGTAATTCACAATGTACACACAAACCGAAGAATATACATTCGCATAAAATGTCTACAATTATAGAAAAGAAGGAGACAATGGATTTGTACGTAGTTGTATATTACAATTCTTATAGACTCTTATATATACATTTTTTAATAAAATTTTTGTTACGTATTTACATAGAAATTGGTGGATTTTATTTGGAACTATTATAATACTTACAGCAGGGACAAGATTTTACAAAGTTACAGAACCACAACATGTTTGGTAAGAACTTATAAAAAAATATTTCTAAATTAAATTTATACTTGACTTGTAGATAAGTATTGCATATTTTAGTTGGGATGAAACTCATTTTGGTAAAATGGGAAGTTGGTACATAAATAGAACTTTTTTCTTTGATGTTCATCCACCTCTTGGAAAGGTAAATAATATGTAATATCTAACCTATATAATAATATGTAATATTTATAACAATAGGTTAAGAATCTATATTATTACCTTTTAGATGTTAATAGCATTATCTGGATATTTAACTGGATATGATGGAACATTTTCTTTTGAAAAACCAGGAGATAAGTTTGAAAATGTTAAATATGTTGGTATGAGAATTGTAAGCGCATTATAATATTCATTGTAAAGATTATAAAGATTATTGAACAATGAAAATTTTATAAACATTTTCCATGTTCCAGTTTTGTACATTTTTAGGTGCAACGATAGTTCCTTTATCATATCTAATTGTATGGGACTTAACAAAATCTGTTCAGGCAGCTGCATTTTCTGCACTATTTATCTTATTTGGTATATATATTATATTTATCGCACTTTGTTCATTTAATGAAATAATTATATTACCAAGTAATTTGTATGTTTTAGATGTAGGATTATTGACATTAAATCAATACATTTTGTTGGATCCTATATTATTATGCTTTATGATGTGTGCAACTTGGGGAATGGCTCGAATAGGTTCTCTTCATGATGAACCATTTACATGGAAATGGTGGAGTTGGTTAGCATTCACAGGAATGTCTCTTGCTTGTACAATTAGTGTAAAGTTTGTTGGTTTGTTTGTTGTTCTACTAGTTGGATTAAACACTGCTTTTGAATTATGGAGAGAATTGGGAGATCTAACAAAATCTATCGTAAGTTTCTTGTATTTATCAATCGTTTGAAGTTAATAAGTTAATTTTATTTTTACACGTTTTACAGATAAATGTAGGAAAGCACTTGTTAGCACGGTGCATTTGTCTTATTTTTATTCCAGTATTATTGTACATGTTATTTTTTTATATTCATCTTTCTGTTTTAAATAAAAGGTAAATGATTTTCTTATTTTACATTTGTTATATATTTATGCTTTTAACAAATATATTAATAATTTGAAATATTTCAGTGGAAGTGGAGATGGATTTTATAGTTCCGAATTTCAATCCTTATTGGAAGGAAATTCTTTGTATAATGCGACAATGCCGCGGCAATTAGCTTACGGAGCCACAATCACGCTGAAAAACCATAGAACTGGTGGAGGATATTTACACTCGCATTGGCATCTTTATCCAGAAGGTATAGGAGCTAGACAACAACAGGTATTAACTTTGTCGCGTCTTATATTTTGACAAAATATTAATAGAATTTTTTTTATTAGATTACGACTTATTCGCATAAAGATGATAATAATTTATGGTTCATAAAAAAATTTGATACTGATGATGTACCGTCGAAGCCAATGTTAGTAAAACATGGTGATCTCATACGCTTGGAACATGTTATTACTCATCGAAATTTGCATTCGCATAAAGAGATCGCTCCTATTTCTAAAAAGCACTATCAAGTTACAGGATATGGCGAAGTAAGTCTATCCTCTTCAAATTCTTACTTTTAACTATGTAATGATGTATTTTTATTTTTTTAGAATGGTACTGGTGATGCTAACGACGTATGGAAGATTTTAATAGCAAACGGCAAAGACGGCGATGTAGTTCAAACCGTAACTAGTAAATTAAAATTTGTACATTATCTACACCATTGTGTTTTAACATGCAGCGGTAAAACATTGCCGAAGTGGTTGGTTACGAAACTATGTGTTTTAAAATAAAGAAAAGTGAGAAAAAATTTGACGGAAATTATAATTTTTCAGGGCGTATAATCAACAAGAAGTTTCCTGTAATCCAAATATGAGAGACAAGAATGCATTTTGGAACATTGAAGACAATAATTATGCAAAATGTTAGTACTTAATCATTATCAACAATCATCAATGTATATAGTATTCTATTAATTAATAAGTTTCTTTATAGTACCAAACGTCAGTTTTCAAGTATATGCACCTGGGTTCTTAGATAGGTTTCTAGAGTCACATGCAGTAATGTTGCAAGGAAATTCTGATTTAAAAGTTAAAGAAGGAGAAGTGTCATCGCGTCCTTGGCAATGGCCTATTAATTATAGGGTAGGTTACATTATTTTAAATAGTAGAAAAGTACAATTCAGTCATACGAATTTTGCAGGGTCAATTCTTCTCTGGGAATAGTTTGAGGATATATCTACTTGGTAATCCAATCATTTGGTGGAGCAATATTGTATTTTTAATACTTTTTATGTTGCTATACACTCACGCCTGTGTACGGCAACAACGTGGTTGTGTAGAAACTCCTGCCGTCCTTGAACAAAGAGATAAAATATTAAACGCAGGAAAATGGCTTTTTATTGGTTGGATACTGCATTATGCGCCATTCTGGGCAATGAGTAGAGTTTTATATTTCCATCATTATTTCCCAGCTCTATTATACAGTTCAATGTTAAGTGGAACAACTTTAAATTATATTATTGAAAATGTAATCATTTTATTTCCAAATAAAATTGGAAATTTTATATATCATACAATAGTGGGAGTTGTTATTTCAAGTACCATATACAGGCAAGTATGACACAATTTCTTGACTAACAAGTGTTTAATGAAGTAGTTTATATGTATTATTTATTCATATTATTTAGTTTCTACTTGTTTTCTCCGTTGGCTTATGGTATGATTGGCCCTTCTTCACTGGATCCTGAAAGTCCAATGCATTCTTTAAGATGGATGGATACTTGGGAATTTTAACGAAGACTGAAGTATTTTGATCTTTTTTAATCTACAAGAAAGTAATATAAAGAAATATTTATCAGTACTTGTATTATCAGCAAAATATGAGGAATCTACGACTTATACATATTAATAAATTTTTATATGTATATATATATATATATATATTTATACAAATATAAAAGATATTTCATAACATTTCCCTTCAATTTCTCAATATCCTCAATTACAAAATTGTATAAATAACATTCTTTTTTATTGTATATTTTTTTTATTTTTATCAAAGGGTAATTACATCGCGATCAAATGATCTTCTAAAAGGAGAGATCATGCCACCACGAAAGCGAACCGCGATACGAACCACCCACGATGTCTAGTCGCAGTAAAAGGTTCCGAGTAAGCGTGGTCTGCTCAGCTGATCGACCCACGTGTTAGAGTTACGCCTCCTCAATCGCGGCACCGTCTCAATTCTTTGTACGCTCGCGATTAAGAAGAAATCTTGATTTATTAAGAATTCTCTCCTTATCTCTCGAGGTTACTAGGTTGATTTAGTAAAATCAGGACGTCGAGTGCACATTCACATCAAGTGAAATCCCTCGTTATAAACGGTGTTTAACCGGTGAATGGTAGCGCGAATCTTTTCGCGGTAAACGATCAATAAAGAGCTCCCGGGGATTTTCAGTCCGTCCAGAGCGACCACGAACGCACTCTCACGTGAGATCAGGAATAGCTGTCAAAGTGACCACGTGTCCTAACAAGCATCCGGTACGTGTTCTCGTGCTTATGTGTACGCGTGAAACCACACCACTAATCTTATCGATGATCCGTCAGAGAAAAAAAAAAGAAACAAAAATGTAACGGCCGAGTCTAGTGAAGTTCTAGCTTCGACACCAAGGGCACCTCGTTTCTTCCTAGATCTGTGACGTTGGACTGCAAAAATCGCGCGAAATTAAAAGCATCTGTTACTCGTGCGTGCGTGTGTGCGTGATTTGAAAATCTCGTTTGCAACAGTGCAAGGGTGATATGCGATCGAATTTGATCCGCCAGTGGCGTAGTTAGTCGCTGTTCTAACTAACGTTGTCGAAAATATCCGATTAGCGATGATGGTAAAATTCGCGCGCGCTCGTTTCAATTGGCTGACAAGTACTTCATCTTCAGCGGACGAAGAGATTTAAAAGTGTTTCATTGTTTAGGAACACTTGTTGCTGCACCGAGCTAAAGATAATCGGAACAGTTTGAACTTTATTCGTCTCGACTTACCGGCCAGCATTGTCCCGACCCTTTTGAAACGTAATCGTATCTCGTCCCCCATGCGGAACATATGTGTGAAACATTATGAACGACGTTCGTAACGACGTTAATCGGATGCAAACGTGTAGGTGCATTGACACGTGACACTGTACACGTATTAAATTGCCATATTGCTCTTATTACAAACTTGTCCATTTACGTTTATTTTCACACAGATTGAAAACAATCGGGATGTAATGTATCCGAGTTGTTTCGGCCGGGGCTGTGCGAAATTAATTTTCCCCTTGTTTTGAACGAAACTTGCCTGAAGATTGATAAGTAAAACGTGCAACCGTTGAGTGACATATTGAATGAAATACAATAATTGTTCATTGATTTTCTGCGAATCTCAATCGTGTAACGTCGTGGTCGCAATATATTCGCAAGTGGTTCGAAAACGGTATTATAAAAAGCTGGCAAACAAATCGTCGATTAACTATTGAAGCCTAATTGACGAGCGGTCGCGTTATTGGAAATCAATTTTCCATACATTATTTAACAGATTCGCTCGATTATCATAATAGTCGACTAATTTGTTTCGCAAATGCATTCGAACTGCAACTTATTTCGCCTAAGATAATCTTCCGATAGTGGCTCATCGTCCGTCATTCGATAAATCTTTGTTAAAAAAATTCTTGCCAACGGAGATAAAATTTTCCACGAGTGGCGAGTTTCTCGTATCGCTTTGCACGGGAACACATTCGTGCAATCTATCGCTATCTTGGAAACGCGGGAATTGACGATGGAATTTGACCTCCTTGGTCACGCGTATCGCGCGAATCTTCTTTAATATCCCGAGTTTCGTAAAACATAGCTGCGAAGGTGTCTCTCGCGAATTAACACGAATTGGAATATTTCCTCATTTACTCGTCGCGCCGTAATCTTGCCCGGTAATCTTTCCATCTGCAATCTGACTGTCGTGGGAGTCGTGGCTTAAGTAAATTTTCTAATAAGCTAGCTTTCTACTGCATTCAAAACGGAGGATACTAAAGCATGTTTTTAATTTCCTTTTTTTTCTTTTTTCTTTTGCTGACAGGTCATCTGACTGAACAGGATAATAACCTTTCCCGATAATCGGTCGAAGAAGTAGCTTGTTATGAGGCGAATCGCAGGATCTATAATATGCGAGATATCGTACTAGTCGTTTCGTTTGCATGGATCCTCGCGATAGAACGATGCCTGTGCGGCAAATTGGAACGGTTTGCTCATCGACCCAACAACGTTCTCGACGACTATTACGCCTATCGTCACATCTCCATTATCCACTTCAATGTTCCGGATTGCACGGTCACCGCAGGATTCAAGTAAAAATTTCGCGAATAATACAGAGAGAGAGAGAGAGAGAGAGAGAGAGAGAGAGAAAGACTGGAACTCACAGCGATCACTCATCGTGAACTGATCGTTCGATTAGAACTGTAATAATGTAACTATATATATATATATATATATAT